TATATATATATATATATATATATATATATATATATATATATAAAAGTCAGACACTATTGGATCAAAAGTGGCAATTCAACTTTGCAAATAAGTTTTCGAATCAAAAAACAATTAAAGATGACAATTATATTTATTACAGTTTATGTTACTAACAATGTTTAGAGGTATGACATAAAATGATGGTGGTGTCATTTGGTGGGAAAGGGGGTGGTGGGTGCCGAATTAATGTCTGTTGTTGAAAAATTTAAAGTTGGTAGTATACAAATATTAATGCATTAAATTCAATTTTTGAAAATGTTTACAAAAATAATTCAAACATTAGGTTACTATTTTCAATTTAATTTTCTTATAGAAAAGGTTTTATTCAAAAATGCTATTATATGAATGTTTTATGGTTCGAGCAAATGACATAAAACTTCTCCAAAAATAAGATGATTTTTTCCAAATCTGTTATTTGTACAAATAGTTAAATATATGTTAGAACTTCCATTTTTCAAGGGACTAAATATGCCAATCCTGTAATCGGAGGATCTACATTGTTAAACCAGTTGAAATTTTGGAATGATTGATTTGGGGGTTTTTTTTTTTTGAAATGTATCGTATAAAAACAATTATCTTATAAAAATGCGTGTTTATAAGACATCTTTAATATAAAGTGCCGATCTGAATATAACCTCCCACTTCTAGATGCAATACTTCTAAACTTAACTTTTATAACTCTTTACCAACATAACATTAAAAACTGGTATAATATTAAATTCGTTAAAAATGACAGACAGTTGTCCAATTATAAGTTTGTATGTATTACTTTCTTGACTCTTCTCGTCAAAATTACATGAGCTGGAAAAAGCTTTTAAAAAACATAAATTACTATTTAGTTTTTTTTCTTTCCATTGACATAAATATCCAACCCGCCACTACAACAAAATTGGATTTATAGGATGCCCACAATTTCTAAGCGTCCCAATAGACTGCTTTATAGAATTTAATTTATAGGATCAAAAATATAAAGCGTCGTATCAAAAGACGTTGTAATAAGTTTATATGACGTTTTTGGACGTCTTAACAAATTTTTTAGGACATTTTTAATACAACGCGTCGCATTAGCAAATTTATAGGACAATTTTGAGAAAGTGTCCTATAAACTCAATTTTTTATAAGACACTTGTTCTTATAGGACAATTTTTCAAATAGTATCCTATAAAGTTGCTAATGAGACGCTTTATATTAAAAGTGTCCTAAAAAACTTATTACGATATAAAAAAAAATGTCATATAAACTTATTATAATGCCTTTAGACATGACACTTTAATTTTTTGTCCTATAAACTAAGTCCTATAAAGAGGTCTATTAGGACGCTTAGAAATTGAGAGCGTCTTATAAACCCGATTTTGTTGTAGTGCGCTATGCGAGCCGACTAATTCCAGAACGACCACCCGCTTCACAGGTAGCCGGAGTCACCGCATTTGAATCTCTGTGGTCACTAAGGAATTTTTATTTCTCTTTGGATTCAAACGTGAAACCTCTAGATACTTTTAACCATTAGAGTCTAAGTTCAAATCAACCAGTAACATTTAGTTGTTTAATACAGGAGCTCTAACTTGGGACGTGTTGATGATGGGGGAAAACCTTGGAGCAACTTAAGAAGAATACCCATCCACATAAATGGTACAGGAAGCACATGGGGGGTGGGGGCATTTATGCATCAAGTTCTATCCTTATCATGTTCCGCATATTCATGACAAAATCTTTAATGCTTAACTGTTTACGCAATTTAATATTACTATTTAACTCGTTTAAACCATAAATATGTAACCAATTGGGACACAACACACCCTCAAACGACTGCTCTTCTTTTCTCATTTTAGATCACACACTTTTACTATCCACGTATAATACGTACGTACTTGACTGATTCAGACATGATCAATGTTTTAGCCAAATTAATTATATATATATATATATATATATATATATTCTTAATTTAAAACAATTATTTGGTTAATTTTTTGCATTAATTAATGCTATAAAACTCTTGTTATGAGGGAAAAGATTGGGTGGAGATAATTAGTGGGAATTAATTAATGCATTAAATGAAGATTAGATGAAGTTAATTAATTAATGGAAAAGAGTGGGTCAAAATGAGCCAACAAGTTTTAATCATATAAGATAAATAATATGGGCGATGATGATTTAAAGTTTTTTTTTAATATGATCCACATAAATAAATAAATAATTGAATTCATATGCATATATCACCATGTGCCAAAAAAAAAAACCCTCTATGACCCCATGACTGAAATTAATCATAAAAGTTAAAGCTGCCAATTATTGCTCCAAAAATCCTGGTCAAACGTTGTGTATATACATACACATGTGTATATATATATATATATATATATTATATATATAGAGAGAAGAGAGTTTGTTTTATAAATGTAACCTATTACATTTGTACAACCAAATGTAACTCAATAAATTAAAATATTTATGAAAATAATAATAGTTCATTTATTATGATTTAAATATTTATGAAAGATGAATAAGGTTTATTAATTATGATCAATATTTTATATTAGGAAACAATCAAAACTTCTATAAAATTATATATTTATCAAATTAAATGGACGGTTGAGATTAGATTGTATTGGTTGTACAAATGTAAATGGTTGTACAATAATCCACCTCTTTCTCTCTCTCTCTCTCTCTCTCTCTCTCTCTCTATATATATATATATATATATAGGGTTGGGTTTACGTGAAACAAGATTGTTTTCGTAATGCATGATTTTTACATTTGAAATTTCACAAAAAAATGTTAGTGAAATCGGACCCTTTTTGACGGTTTGAGCAGTTTGGTTGACCGGTCCAATCTAAATTGGTCAAGTCACTTGGTCCGGTCTGGTTTGTGGTTTGGATCAAACCAACAGCCAAAATATACTAAGTATATATTGGTTTTGATGTTGTAGGCTCAAGTTTTATGTCTCAATTAAATAATATATTCAAGACATGAAGTTTTTGTTTTTCATTTCTCAATTGTCTGTGTTCCCTAAATCAACAAAATTCTAAAATCCTTCAAAAATCAAATTTAAAAGTCCTAACCGTTATTTGACTTGTTCAATGTTTATCCAAAATTCCAACTATTGTTAATAGACTTGTTTCATTTTTATCAACTTCCTCAATGTCTTTTTTTATAATTTTGGAGAAAGATGTTTATTTTATGATTTGGTATATATTTTTTTAATAATATGATATTATAGAAATTTCGTTTTGGATATAGATTAAGTTTTTTAATTTAAAGCCCATATTAGGCTTAGACCGTCTAAACCGGTCAAACCAGACCACCTTTTTGTGGTACGGTAAGGCCACTTATTGCCAAAACCGCTTGGTTTGAAATTTTATTCTAAACCACCATTCCGGTTTTTTTTGTGGTTTTAGGGGTAATCAGACCACGAACACCCCTACTTTAAAACATTACTACAAATAAATACTATGAGATGTCGTGAAATACCAATTACTCTCATAAGATATAGTCGAGAGGGGTTAGCTAGAGTGTCGGGTCCCTAATGTGATAAATCTTCGCTCTGATAACCATGTTGATTAGATCAACTAAATAGAATCGAGATTAGAAGGTAGGTGCGGGAGAAGAAGGTCTCTATATATTGAACGATAAGCCATGAAATTACAAAACAAATAAAAAGGAAAACATTATAAACAATGTTAATTATGAGTTAGTGACAAGACCGGTCCCTCAACTATGCATATTTACATAACTAACATGCGGGATTTATAAATCCGTACTATACTTTAAACCAAACACAAAAATCAAAATGAAACTCAGGACAACTCTTGCAAATTCAAACGGGACCTAAGGGTCTTTAAATAAGTGATATGACAATCCTTTTTACTAATAAAAAAACACACGAGATGTTTCTTATCCAAATGATATCCGATATCTTCAGAGAATCGGCTTTGCCACAAGACACGTTTGCCCTAATTAAGCCCACCACAAGCTTCCCCAATATTTTAGAAACCCTAAAAAGCACACCCTGCCGATATTTGGGTACATTTGAAAAGTAATAAATAAAATAAGTAAATGATTAAAAAAAGCTCTTTTGAGAATATATTTAATTAAAATATTAATTTCAAGAAAATGAGTTCTCATCATCAAAGGTACGTTTTTTTCCCAATTAAAATGTTGATAAATATATAAAAATAAAACCATTAGGTCATGATAAAGAGTGAGATTCAGTGAGTGGACTATTGAAGTCTATACAATATGTTCTCTTCTTTCGAACATAGCAGGGAGGTCTCTTTCCAGATTCCTTCAACAACCCAGCAACAACAAGATCATCATAATCGTCTCACCTCCGTCACCGCCCTCCGTCGTCTTCCCACCGGACCTTTTGATGATCATAAACTTGTACCTTCTCAACAAAAACCAGGCCGTAAGAGATCATGCAACAACCTGCAACAACAAGATCATCATCTCGTCGTAGATTGCGATGATGAAAACGAAAAGAAGAAGAAAAGACTGGAGCATCGGGAGATCGAAAGAAGAAGAAGACAAGAAATGGCCAATCTTTGTTCGTCTCTTCGATCTCTCCTGCCTCTTGACTTCATCAAGGTATAGTGGTTCCATTAATCCTTCAGGGTTTTGTGTTTTAGCCCTTTTTCAAACTGGTTTCTTTTTTCTGTTGTAGGGAAGACGGTCGACGTCGGAACACATGAACCAGGTTGTGAATTACATAAAACACTTGGAAGAAAACATCAAAGGCCTAGAAACCACAAGAGACGAGCTCAAGAAAACTTGCCCCCATGTTACTGATTCTTCAAGTGTTCTTCCAAATAAGAATATCGAAAACGAAACTTCGGGTCGGCATGGTCCGAATACAGTGACAGTGGGGTGTAGCCATGGCGGAGTTGAGATTTTGATCAAGAGTTGCACAGGGTTTCCCATTTCAAGAGTGGTGAAAGCACTAGTTCAAGAAGGACTTAATGTCATAAGCTGCAATTCTACCAAAGTCAATGAAAGATTTATCCACTCTATCCACTCTGAGGTACCCTTTTTTGTTTATCTTCTATTCTTTTGAAATCATACATACATACATACATACAAGTATATAACATAATATGTATTGATAAATATCTGTACTTTTTGCAGGTTTCTGATGAGATATGCATTCAAGTTTCAATTTTGCAGAAAAAACTGGTAGAATTAGTGCTTTCATGACTAGCAGCTCGATTGATTTATAAGGTTAGATAAAAATAATGCTTTCTTCATCGTTTTAATCAATGTTTTGGTACAGTTGAATCTGCTGTTGTGAATGAGATGGTGTTTTCAATCCTTTTGTCTTTTTGTTCGTATATATCGTCCCCCTATAGCAGTAGAATTGGATCCATAATTCACCACCACGTGGACTGTATTTTCATTCATCAACACGTGTCTAACTAATCATTGATATTCAAGTTCGTAGTTATGGACATAAAAATTCGATTTTAAAATCACAAGGGTGATGTCTGATTGGTTTGAACTTGACTCAAAATGTAGAAAGTGCGAAGAGGTCCCAGATTTAAATCCAAGAAGGTGGATCTGGGCTACGTGCAAAGCAGGCGATCGTCCTGAAATTAGTCGGCTCGCATAACGGGTTGGATATCCAGGTTAATAAAAAAAATCGATTTTAAGGAACCATTTAACTGTCAGAGAGTCCTGTTTAGATTTGTTCAAAGAAGTTGTAGGTTTTGGTTTAAAGTTATAGCTTCATAAAGAAATATAGTTTTTGTGCTTCGTGTTTAGATCTTAGGGTTTATCTGGTATGCCCTAATGAGTGTATGATGACATCAAACATTATTGTGAGGGATTTCTTAAATCGATACAAACAAGTCCGAAATGAAATAAATGTATGTGAAGGATCCAACGATGAATGAATAAATGAACTTGAATCGCGAATGTGATCAATGACTAGGACCAATGATAATACGCAACCATGCATGTCAACCAAACAATGTAGATGAAGTGAAAAGGAAATTACAAATTAGTACAAATACAGTGTCGGTGTGATACTCTGCATCCAAAGAGAAGGTTGGCAGAACTTTATATAATTGATAATCAACGAAGGAATTACGTTATCGATGATCCAATTGAGAACTCGCAAAATCTCCACCGGCTGTGTATTTTTTGGCTGAGGAAAAAAATAACAAAAGCATCGCATTGAAACAAGTCCTCCAAACCCCTTCCCATTCAATCTCTCTCTCTCTCCCTCTCTCTCTCTCTCTCTCTAAACGTTTATTTATCGACAATTCCTGTTTTTTCAAATTCGCTTTCCAAAACTATCCCTTTATTTCACCAACTCTATTTTCTTTCCCATGTTAATTTGAGTTAAGAGGTCGTTTAGTATGCTTACTGAGTAAGGTGCTTACTGCAAGAGCCACCCCCCTTTTACTTCACCGGTAATATTTGCTGTCAACAAGACTGATTTCTGGTAAGCACATTTTACCCGGTAAGCATTTTCGGGTAAAAGTCTTATCACTCACTTACCATGTAAGACTGTCGGTCCATATGTTGTCTCTTACCTGGTAAAATTTTCAGCTTTGGCATACTAGCACAATAAAATAAAGACATATGGATAAGTGTTTGATAAACGAGTCCTTAAATGAAGACTAGAAGATGGTTAGGTAACGATGAAATCATAAAAAGGTTGGAAATTTGAGTTATTATTATAAAGCCCATATGTATTCGTGTGTCTTTGTTATCATCAAAATCCAATAATATATGAATGCATTATACAGGCATGGCTGTAAATAATTGTATATATGTAGCAGACACATTTCATTTAATGGACGGGACCATTTTATTTTCAACTCTATGTATTAGTTAAACACTAAAGAGTTGCGTTTGTTTTATTGATGATATTCTATTAAACAATTAACAAATGGTTTTTATATTGTTTATAAATCAATTCATCAATATTTCAATTCATAGACCGTCAGAGGACCGGTAAGGACCGGTTATAGGACCGAAATCTGGGAGCGGTTTATGGATTTGGGGTGTTTCGCAGGACAGGGACCGATTGAGACCGGGACCGGTTATGGACCGGCCTGGCTGGGCCCAGTTATTCAAAAATGTAGCTGGTTTTTTTTTTAAGTATAACTGTTATTTTTCAAAAAACTAGTCGTTTATGACCGTTTTTTGCCAATTTTTTTGTATTTTTTTGCCTTTTAAACACTATAAATAAGTATCTTGGTTGAGAGATTTACATACCAAGTTTTCGATTCGCAAAAAAGAAGTACATAGTTCTCGGTTTCTCGCTATGTTTTGTAAGACAATGTAATTTTAACTATAATAATACGTATTGTTAAAATATATTTGAGTGTCTCAATTACAAATTTCATAATGTATTAAAAATATATATCATTACAAAAATAAAAAAATGTTATTTTTTAATGACCGGGACCGGCGGTCCGTAACCGGTTACAATAAACCTTAACTGGGCTCACCTTTTTCGACTGGGACCGGGATCGATTACACTGGGACATGTTATGACCAAATCTGTTGAGACCTGGGTGGGACCGGTAAGGTTTTCGGCCATCGGTAGGTGAATTGATATATACACGATATTGCCTTTTTTTTCAATGTCCATTAATAGGGCCCAACTGTTTCGGCCCAAAAGCAGTGTCGTGCCACCCCAAGGCCCAACTACTTAAGCCATAGGCCTAGGATCGTTTCGATTTTCGAAGACTCCATGCTATTTATTTACAAGGAAGAATACATAAAATAGTAATTTATTTTTATAATTTTTTTATTATAATATTATATTTTTAATTTTTTATTTATTATAACAATGTGTTTTTGAATTATTTTTTATTTGGGTATTGTACTTTAAAAAACTTTTTTATTATAATTGAGTAATCTTTTGATTTAAATTTACCTATTATTTCAATATTGTACTTTTAAAATCATTTTATTATAACATTACATGTTTCACGTGTAAAATTTTGATGATGTGACATTTCTTATTACAACCTCATACTTTGAAAACAATTTGATTTTACATATTATTTAATAAATATATTAAATGAATTAAAAWAWTTMWAAATTATTCATTAATGTAACTATATTAAGAAAACTAGTAAAACACAACTTATTTCGCTAATATTTTTTAAAAATATGTATTTTTTTGAAAAAAAATGTTACGATTTTTTATCAAAAAAATATTTATCTTTTAGAAAATATATTGTACTTGTTTAAGAAAATATACTTGACACATATATTAAAGTAATTATATTTTTATGAATTATTATTAAAAAAAACTGGTATTGCACAATTTATCTGATTAACATTTAAATAAATTAAAACGATATGTATTTTTTTACAAACAAAATAATTATCTCAAAAATAATATATCATATTTATTTAAGAAATATTTTACTCTACAATATTTAATTTGCATATAATGTAATAAAAAGAAGTTAAAAAAAAATTGAAATGTCTTTTTTAAATCTTAACAATGAGAAATGAAAATCATTAAAAACAATTTGAAAATGAGGTGTCATCTACATGACCTCATTTAAGCCCAAAAAAAAAAGTAAAGGGTTAACCGAGTTAAAAGATAATAAGTTACTCACTGCTATAACTTTTAAAGTACAATGCTCTAATAAAAATTAATTTAAAAATACATTGTTGTAATAAGGAAAAATGAAAGTATACTGCTATAATATATTTTTTTTTATGAAAGTAAGTTGTTATTTCATGCATTTAATCCTTATTTATATAATATTCAACCAAAATATTTAAATTCTACTAGAATGGTATCCATACAATGTAGTAAGATACATCTCAATTTTAATGTTTCATTTTATTCTTTGTCTTTATCGATATAATACATGCTTTTGCAGCCCATATCTTCCCACCTCCGATCACATGATCTTTCGGGAGCCCGTCTGGATTGAAAAATAAATACATAGCTATGATGATGAGGCATATCAATTTAAGTGATTTTAAAATAATGATTATGTTTTTATTTTTGAATAAAATATGATAAAAAAATTATATAAATATTAGTATCAAATTAACTATTCAAAAGTTTTCGTTTTTTTGTGTAATTTCTTTAAATTATTTTTTTTATTATAATATGATTTAGGTTTAATAATGAAATAATTTATTTTTAATTTAATAATATAATATTTTGTTAGATTCTAAAATAAAATGTTTATCCTGTATTTGATTATGTTTATATGTAATTAGTTATACGAATTCAAAAATGAATCTTCAATATGTTGTAATTATGTACAATTTATTTATAATTTTGAATTTTAAGTAATATTCACCAATAAACAGTATTTTATGTATAAAAAATGGTTTCTAAATGTTTTTATTAAATAATTTATAATAAAGTATAGATAATAGGATTTTTTTTAGGGATTTTTATTAAAATAACCATTTTATATAACATTTTGCCACAAAATAACCAATTTTTAGAGGTTTTGCGTTTTTTACCACCCAGATCTACCCATAGGGCGATCCGTACTTTTTTTGGGGCGATCCCCAATAGAATTCTAAAAAAAAATTCTTAAAATTCGAGATTACTGTTCACCTCGAAGACCGGGTTGTCAGATCTACCCCAGGGGCAATCCAGCCTTTTAATTTTTTTTTTGAATTTTTTTTGGTATTTTTAATAAAACTGATACGCCATTTAAGTTGTGTTTTTTAACCTTTTTAGAACCAAAATTTATGGGTAAAGGTTTAAAAATAAACCATAATAATTATGGAGACGCAAAAATTATTTTTATCAGTTTTTGATTTTGTAAATCATATATAATATCTGATATTTGTGTGTATCTTTTTTACCCCAGTGCTGTGAAATGAAAGGGAATGTGTGAAAAATTATGAAGTAGGAGGTTGGTATTTATAGTGAAATTGGAGGTAGAACAAAAAAAGAAAAAAAGAAAAGAAAATAGAGGTCAAATTTCGTAAATCAGATATTATATCTGATTTACGAAACCCAAAACAGATAAAAATAATTTTTGCGTCTCCATAATTATAATGGTTTATTTTTAAACCTTTACCCATAAATTTTGGTTCTAAAAA